TGGTTATTTTGGAGATGGAGGTCTTGGGACTACTTGTCCTCAAACCTCAATCCTCCCAATTCAGCCTCCCAAGTAGCTAGGATGACAGGCGCAAGCCACAGCATTAGGCAAGCACCCTTTTTTTTAAGGTACTGGGGCTTGAACTCAGGACCTACACTTTGAGCCATTCTACCAGCCCTTTTTGAGTTAGATATTTTCGAGATAGGGTCTCACAAACTCTGCCGGGGCTGGCTTCCAACCACAATCCTCTGATCTTAGCCTCTTGAATAGCTAGAATTTACAGGCATGAGCCACCAGTGCCTGCCTAGGCAAGCACTCTTAATGCTGAGTTCTACCCTAAACCCCTTCAGTAAAGTTCTGTTGAACACTGATCACCTCTCTTTGCCTCACAATGATGTCACTTCTTTTTAACTACAATCCTAGAATCTCAGGTTTGGAAAGAATTTTAAGTACTCTTTCCATCCTTTTATGAGTTCATCAGGATGCACAGGCAGTTTGAAAGAAACTTTTATTGAAGATCCTGGGAAGTAATTATATTTTATTGAATGGCATCATATAAGTTTTTTTTTTTTTGCCAGCATCTTGCATTGTAATTATATGTTGTTTTAATCTCTCTATTCCTTGATAACAACAAAGATGAAAATGTTTCTCAATTTGTCAAAGTGATACAGACTGAGAGACTGAGAAATTCCATATGTGTATGTATGTTGTATTGCTTTTGCCTGGGAATTAGAGCGGTAGGTTTCCATGAGCCTCTAGTCACACATTGTTAATTAGTTAATACAAACCTTGTTTTTGTGTATTTTTGTTTAAAGACTACTCAGTTAATATGTGTTTTGATTCCTAACCATTACAGTCTAACTCATGGCTGAATGAAGCCTATTTTCTCTGTGAGGCACATCACAGCTTTCTTGCACTTAGAAGCACTTGATGGAACTTCAGCATCATAGTTGGTGCCGTCTCCAACAGTAAGATTTTCAGCAGAAAGCAGAAAAATGTGAACTACAGGGTGTAAAATACACTGAACAGTGTACTAATTTACATTGCAACAGCAAAAAATAGAAAAGAATGTTGCCGTATTCAACCTTAGCTGAAAAGGTGTTTTGAGTAACTTTTTTTTTTTTTGGTGGGACCGGGATTTGAACTCAAGACTTCCCACTTGCAAAGCAGGTACTCTACCACTTGAGCCACACCTCTAGTCCATTTTGCTGTGGTTATTTTGGTGATAGGGGTCTTGTGAACTATTTGCCTTGCGTGGCCTTGAACTGCAATCCTCCCAATTTTAGCCTTCCAAGTATTTAAGATTACAGGCATGAACTACGGCGCCCAGATAACTTAAACTTTTTTGCTGCTCTATGAATTTCTGCTAATGATTATACAAGTACCACATGTGTTTTTTTTTTTTTTAATTAAAAAAACTTTGACCAGTGCTAAGGATCAAACCTAGGACCTTGAATGTGCTGGGCAAGTGCTTTACTACTGAGCTACTCCTCCTGCCTTACATAGATTGATTTTGGGGTTAAAAGTAGATTTTAGCAAGTAGGTGAATTTATAAATATGGAATCCACAAATAATGGGCACCAACTGTTCTTCAGTCTGCACTTAAGACCTGATAGTGTCAGCATGAATCCAGTTACTGTTAATCTCATAAACGTGTTAATCTCATAAATGTAGTGCATTTCTCGGTGTGCTGTTCTTCAGGAAAACTTGACAACCTAGGAGTCTTGAAAACTGATAAGATAGGAGTAACTCAAGAGTGGAACTTGGTACTGCAGAAACAAGGGATACTGGTGTGCTAACAGCAACCCCTTAGTTGGTTAAGTTTCAATAGGAAACCAGAAGTCCATGATTGTGAATGACCTACAAAGAGTTAAACGCCACTCGTCTCCATACTATTTCCATATTGGAATCATCTGAGGACTGTGGTTGGTGTTAATGATAGTTCCTGAGCCTCACCCCAACCCTGATAATAACCTCTGGGAAGGACAGCCTGGTATCAGTATTTTAAAAGAAGTCCTTCAGACACTTTTAATATGTAGTCAAGCTTAAGAGATAAGCTAAAATAAAGAAAAGCAGTTCCTGTGCTTTTATAGTGAAGGTGGAAGATAAAATGCATGGTTGGAGAGGTGTCCTAGTTCTATACTGGTGCTGCTCGCTATCTGAGGCAGTATGGATCTTGAGATACTGTTCTGAAGGAAAAACAACTGTGCATGTTAGATGGACTATCAAAACAGGCAACAAAGTCATCAGTAAAGAAAGATGATAGAGGAAGTCTGAATGGAAAGATGATTTAGCCACAACAAAAATGATTTTTTGTGAATCTATTTTGTGTGAATACTTACATACTCCAACAGTGATAACCTTAGATGTAGTAGGTCAAACACAAACTTGTGTTTGTACATCTTATTTAAACTTAACTTACGCATGTCTGCAAAATCTTTGGCAGTCAACTTTTTTATTTTGTTGAATCTTGCATAAAGATACGCCGATTCCTTTGGCAAGGGTGGTATAGCATCAATGTCAACTTCTTCACAGTATACAGAGCCACTTAAACACACACACAACAGGCACGTGGGCATTTCTAAATTGGGAAGCAAAATTACAAGTATAAACACAGTTTGAAATATTTGTACTCTAGTGGTAAAAGTATTATCATGGATGCTACTAATTTAAAAAATATTTTATAGAATCATAGATAATAGCAGGAAAGATATCATCATGGTATCAACCTACATTGTGCTTGATAACTCATCAAAATTTGTTTTAAAGTCTATGATCCAACTCTCTTTTTATTCTGTTTTCAGTAGTGACTACTTAAAAAGCTTATTTGACCAATAGTTGTATCTCCTCATTTGAGTACCAGAAAAACAATTCACAAAGCAGAAGTTAAGGTAAAAACAAACATGATTTATCAAGTTTTATGTGTCAGAAACATTTCAGATTATTAACATTAGCTGATGACTTTGGAAATCACCAGTTAAATAAGCAAACCATTCACGTGAAATTTAGAGTTACCACTGGCACTGTTCAGATCTCAAGTGCAAATCCCAAATCCGCTTGGGATGACTTGTCAAACCTCTTTCCTTTAACTGAAGCAGTTCCTTGTCTTCGTTTTTTTGTTGTTGTTGTTTGTTTTTGTTTTTTCCTTTTAGTTTAGAAAGTACAGGGCTATGTTTCTTTCTCCACAGCTCCCTGCATTTATTTTGCAGAACTTCTTTCTATTGCAATTTGTCTGAGGTTTTTCATTTTTGGCAAAAATTACTATAGAAATAATGTTGTGTTCTCAGTGTCATGTATAAAGGAGGTACATATCTGTTTGTCACATTCCTGTTAGTATCTGTGATCACTTGGTTCAAGTAGTATCTGCCATGTTTTTCACTTTGTAAAGTTACTGTTTTTCACCTTGTATTGAATAAATATCATCTTTTAAAATTTTTATGCCAATACCACAGTGTCTTGATTCCTGTACTTGTATACTAAGCCATGATAATAGGTAGTATAAATCCCCCACTTAATTCTTTTTCAGTATTGTTTTGACTATTCTAGGTCTTTTCCATCTTTTATACATTTATACCTATTCATGCACCTTTTTTTCGGTACTGTGTTTTGAACTCAGGGCTTTGTACTTGCTACGTAGGTGCTCTACCATTTGAGCCACATCTCTAGTCCTCTTCATGCACTATTACCCACAATTTTTAAGTGTAATATGTTTTAGTTTGTGGTAGGTCTAGTTCCTGGGTATACCTGGCATTGCTCAGTTCACACACGAACTTTGGAACCAATTTTTTTACCTTTATAAAAAAATTTATTGGTAATTTTAGTTGGATTGTCTAAAATTTATATATGTAGAGAGAACTGACATCTTTATAATTTTGAGTCATCCTAAGAACATGTGATGTCTTTCCATTTGTCCAACTCTGTTTTTACTAAAATACTTGTCAATTTTTAAAAGATGTATTTTCTGGCTTATAATTCCAGCTAGTGAGGTGGAGGCAGGAGAGTTGTGAGTTCAAAACCAGCCTAGGCAAAGTTAGCAAGATTCTTGTCTCAAAAACAAAATACAAAAATGAAAAATGACTGGGGGAGTGGCTCACATGGTGGAGTGCTTGCTTAGCATGCACAAGGCTCTGGGAGTCATTTCCTAATACCACCAAAAATGTGTTTTCTGTTTTGGTTCATTTTAATTTTATTGTGCGTGCGTGTGTGTGTGGTGTGTGTGTGTGTGTGTTCATGAGAAATGATGCTCTGTGATATCACAAGCATAAACCAAATACATAGGAACTATTAAGTAGAACTTGTAGTTTGTTATTTTGCAGTTAGTTTTCTACTGTCTTAATTGAAATGGACATTTCAGTTACAGAGAGAGCCATTTCTCTTTGAGTTTCCTGAAGTCAAGTATTGCATTATGATATCCTAAGTCTATGCATTGTATTTGGCAAATACTCAATGTTTATGTATTTCCTGAATTCAACTTACATAGATGGAAGCACATTTTGTAGAGGTTAAGCGTGGACTAAGATTTGGTCATTCTTGAATGTTCCTGTTCCACATTTTTTACTCAAATATGGTTGGAATGTTAAATGGCATGCACTCCCCATCTGCCTAATCGAATTTACCATTGGGGATAAAATTCCAGTTTGTATTTATTTATCTTAAGGCAACTTTTGATTATTACGAGGAATAAAGTTCTATCATAGCTATTTTTACTAGATCTTTTTGAAAAACTGGTATTAGAGTGTTGATACTTACCATCACTTTCTTTCTTGGTTGGCAATTGTGTTACAGTCTCATCTTTTTGTAACTGAAAACTTTTCTCATCAGGAATTATCATAGCTTTTTTTTCCTATTGGAAAAGTAAAAGTTTGTTGTCAGGTGATAAAGTCTGACTAAAACCTAGGGATCACAGGCAATGCTTACCTCTCACAGTCATAATTGGTGTATTTCTTCTGTGCTAAGATTTTATACATAATTTCATTTTCATCATTCATTATATTACAATGTAAATATGTTTTTATTCTAAATGTGAGCTCCTTGAGTGAAAGAACCAGGTTTTTAAAAAAAAATTTTGTATTTCCAAAGGCTGAATTCACTACTTGGGCACATAAATGATGTTCCAAATGGGAGCTAATAGAGAATTCTCTGAATAGTAATGAATATTTTTCTGAGATAAAACTATGCCATGTGATTCTTGTTTGAACTAAACTCCTGTTACCAGATGTATTATTTTGAGCAGCTGTAGGCCTCCAGCATGCCACACTGTAAAGTACTGATCAAGCTCTATTGGTCTCTTCCAGAACTGACATTTTAATTTTCTACATGCCTCCATGCCCTAGTATTGGGATCTGGGTTTATTTATAGTACTGGGGATTGAACTTGGGGCTTCCTGCTTGCTAAGCAGGTCTTCTACTGCTTGAACCACATCCCCAGCCCTTTTTGCTTTATTTTTCAGATAGGGTCTCTTGCTTTTGCTTGAGGTGGTCCTCGACTGCAATCATTTTTCCTTTGCCTCCCACATATCTGGAATCACAGGTGTCTGTCACCAAACTTGTTACCAAGATGGGTCTCACTCACTTTTTTCTGGGCTGGCCTTCAGTCAGGATCCTCCCATCTTCACTTCCTGCCTGGCTGGGATTTCAGGTATGAGCCACCATACCTAGCCTGGAGCACTTTTAAACTAGCTTCCTCCTCCCCTACTCTGACCACTGTTGTAGGCTGTTAACTCTGGGGAATTGAGGTCCTTACTGTTTATCTTCTCTCTTATTTTCTGTCATTAGATTATAGATTATTATGTGGAATTGTATTCTTTCTACTCTTTGTAAGCTTGCTCCACCTTTGTCTCAGTCCAGACTTTTGACCTTGCCCTTACCCTTGACATCCCCATTTTTGTCCCATTGAATTCTCAATTTCACAAATATTAGTGTGCACATACACACACATATATTAACATGCAGAAACTCTTTTTTTTGCAGTACTGGGGTTTGAATTCAGGGCCTCATGCTTGCTAGGCTGGCACTCTACAGTTTCAGCCACTCCACCAGCCCTAATTTTGTATTGGGTATTTTTGAGATAGGGCCTCTCAAACTGTTTGCTTGGGGTGGCTTCAAACCACAATCCTCCTGATCTCTGTCTCCTGAATACCTAGTATTGTAGAAATGGGCCACCAGCACCTGGCAAGAAACCATATATCTTAAAGAGAAGAAGCAGAGAAAAAGTCATCTATAAAGTTGTAAGCATCAGGGAATTTTGAAAATGTCTTAAAATTAATTGATGGATTTAAATCATCCAAGTGAGACAGTAGCATGTTTTATGATATAATTCTTCTTTTTAAATTTGAAGCTATGACTAAGATACCTATCTTCTATCATACTCATGGGCAGAAATAGCACCAGCATATTAACTAACTACATTGGAAGAAAGAAACTGGGATGTTAAATTTCTCTTTGTTTGCTGAAAGAAAAAGGAATTTTAACTAGTAAGTCTTAAAATCTGGAGAAGAACTTTTAAAGCAATGAATATTGTTAAATATTTGGCTGTTTCTTTTCCCATTATATGTGTATATGTGTGTGTGACACAGTGGACTACACATAGTTTCATTCTGTGTTAACCTTTGCTTCACTCAGCCTTCATTTCTGTGGGCCAAAAAAGCCACAAGCAATTACTTTGCCCATAGCAATGGGATGTGAATGATGTTGGGTATAAGGCATTTTCACAGGGTGTTAACTCAGTGACAGTTGCAGATTATTAGTGCAAGTTGATAGAGGGTCCAGACTATTAAAACTGATCAGAAAGAATGCCCCGTACTAAGTAGCTTTTCATTTTTGGTGCTGTGAGTAGTTGGCATAGCTAGTACCCTTCTGTGTATTTCCTGGAACTATTTTTCTCTAAAATAATAAACCTTAACTTGATGATGCATCTTCTTGTCTCTTAATTTATTTTTGAGGCAATATAGCATACAAACATAAGGCATTATGTAACATAACATATATTTTGCAGCTGGTCAGGCATCATGTTAAAGTCTAGTTTTCCTTTAATTTTGTTTTTTGGTTACCATAGGTACTGCTTTGCTAATTTAGTAGTATACATATCTGAAAAATATAACCTTAAGGACAATTAAAATGTTTTTCATTTCCCTTTACCTTATCGAATACATTTAAGAAAAACAAAAATATTCATTTAAATGTGAACTATTTTAGAATAGTTGGAATAGAAATAAAGTACCTTAATATTTTCCCCATCAGGTATTTATCTTCATAATCTTGGCCAAATTTGGTTTCTTGAAAATTCTCTGTTCCATACTCATAGATAATGGGTGCATCCTGCTGAGTTGGTGGTGCTGGCTCTGTCAGAGGCATGAACAGCAACAGGAGAAGTATAGACTGCGCAGTCTTCATTTCAGCAGAAATCAAGGTGACTGGAAGTTAATAGACTAGTGGCCTGCTAACCATGGGATAAAACTCTTTTTTCCCTGGAAATAAAAATGCAGACTATTGAAGCAGTATTTAAAAGCTTTGAGGACCTTTTGGCAGGGTGTCCGCACTGGGAGCCAGGGAACAAGTATTTAACCCTTAGTGGTCTTTAATTAGATACTAACAATTTTATGTATCAGTGTGCATTTAGAAAAATGGTTTCAGATAATACTTATCTATCAAAAAATGTAAGCCATGTCGATAATTTAAGTTTCTTAATAATTAAGTGTCTTGAGTAGAAGTGCTCATATGCAATTGAAATCTTAGGATACCTGTAGTATAAATAGTTAAAATGAAGATCCAAGATCCTGTCTCATGTGAGTTAAAAATATCATATTTCAACTTTGCTGCTTCATAAAAGCTCTTGGTTTATATTGGTATGAAAGAAACAAGTTCCTAGAAAACTTTTAAAACTTGAACCTTAAGTTTAATACCGTGAAAAGTAGTCATTAACACTTTCTTTTAGGTAGTGCAGAATATAGGAAAAGCCATGTCTTTAATTCCTTTAGTTTTGTAAGTTAAATAGGTTATCACTATTTTTAGTTAATAGTCTTTCTCTTTTTTTATTTATTTTTTCTTTTATTCATATGTGTATACAATGTTTGGGTCATTTCTCCCCCCTTCCCCCTGCCCCCTGCCCCGAATAGTCTTTCTTTTTTAGTTTAAACAATGAAGACTGCCACAATAGTATTTCAGACTAAAGGAAATTTAGAGCTTTAATCAAGGGATTTGGGGGAATGTACTGGAAAGTATTCTTTCAGGCTCACCCATGGGTTTTATCTGGTGAGTATGCATTTCAGACTTTTTTCTTAACTTCAAACAGAATCACTCAGAGTTGCTGATGCTGCATTTTAGATGCCAATTTATCAAACATCCAGTGGTTGAAAATTAAGATTAAAAGAGGCTTGTGACTTTTGCAGCTCCCAGTTCTTACCTGCACCAATATTAAACCTATGCAATGATACATGAACGTACTTGTTAAAAATTGTTGAAAGGCAGAAAAAAAATTGTTCATGGTAACTGAAACTAAACATACTAGGAATGGCTTTACATTTGTTAAAACTTTTATAATGGTCACTTTAACAAACAATATTTGAAATAATATGCAGAAAACAAGCCTACCGTTGTAGCTATTTTGAAGTTTTTTGTGGTTTTCCTCATAGGTGTTCCTGCCTGTGCATTAGCCCCAAGTTGGAGGGTGGATGAGGAAAGCTGAGGGTTGATTTCAAACTGCTGAGTAAAATTTCAGGCCCAACAGCTTTAAGAGCTCTTTCCATGTGGTGGTGATCTCTGCCAACATTCCTTCTCCAGGGTGAAACGCAGGGTGTTGTACTAGAGGACTGTGCTAAGGATGTTGGAAACTGCCACACTCTGGCTGCTGTCACTGACCACAAACCCGTGTCCTTTTGCCTTCTGTGATAAGCTCTAATCTTTTAGTGAATGTTAGTTTACAAAAATGACACACTTATAACAATCATGCTTTTCATTTGAGTGCTTTTCCAGGATACAAAACATCTGACTTCTGAATGAAATAGAACTTCAGACCAAAGTATAATCTGTGCTCTTAATCTTATGATAACTAAAGATTTTATTCTAATACTAAAATTAACATATAGACAGACATTTCCACTGTAAAAGTTTTAGCATAAATTATTTTATCATTTCATCCATTTGTGTTTTTAACGCCTTTATTTCGGTTACATGTTACAAAACCAAAGTTACATATGAGAAGAAGCTTTTTCAAAATAAATTTGATTTATAGTTTTGGAGTTGATAGTAAAAGTATAATTTTGCTTAATGAAGAGAACTATGTAAAATTTTATATTAAATTTGAAATAAAAAGTTAAAGTAGTGTTGATACCACACAAACATCTTTAATGACTCACTTTTTTTTTTTTTAAAGTCTTTTTGTTGGGTGTATGCCTATAATTGCAGCACTTGGTAGTCTGAGGCAGGAAGGTGGTGAATTCAAGGCCAGCCTGGGCTATATAGCAAGACCCTGCTTCAAAAAAAAAAGTCACTTATTTTTATTACTTTTTGGTGTTTTAGCAATCAAACCAACAATTCTTTCTTCTCTAAAGTAAAACTTAAATATGGGCAAATATTTAATTAAAATAGAACATGAAAGAGTATCGATTTATATTTCTAAGTCAAAGTTGGTTTTAAAGCCTTTCCAAACAAAGTTTAGATAAAGTAAGACATGAATATTCAATTTATTTCTTTACTTTTCCTTTTTTCCCCTTTCTTGAGACAGGGTTTCATTATGTAGCCAAGACTGGGTTTGATCTCACAATCCTCCCACCTCAGCCTCTGAGTCCTGAGATTGTAGGCATATGCCACCATACTGACTTGAATATTCAAGTTCTTATTTGAATGTGAATTACTTTCAATTTAGTTTTGATTTTTGATTTTGGGTTATATAAATTTTGTGGCTTTTAGGATACAATAAATTTTTAAAATTCTTTTTAAATGAAATTTTTTAACAAACTAAAACTTAAGTCTTAAAAATATATAATAATAAAACACCAGATATTTCTTTTGTATTGTGTAGGAGATTAACAAGTATTAAAAGTAAGTTGGATATGTCCAGATATAGAGAATTTTAAAGATGAATGTTTTATTATTGGTACAATTTGATACTTTATAACACAGAAAATTATTTTTTAGATTATAATATCTTTCTTTGAAAAGTTGTGACCTGTGAACACAATTTTGTTAGTATTCATTTATTTAATAAAAACTTATTGAGTGCCCAATATGTGCTAGAACTTAGATAAGTAAACTCAGTCAAACTCAGGTTTCTCTCTTTAAGGAACTTTTCTAGTCTCCAAGTCAGCAGGAAAGGCAGCAAACAAAGCAGGTAGAATGCAGGTGGGTTTGCTGCACAGGAATGTGACAGGGTTCTGTGACATAACCTAGAAGAGGCCACACTCTGGTTGAAGTTAAAAAGGTACACCCATGCTAACTTCTGTGGTGAGGAGGGGAAGATGGTCAGGAGTGAGATGTTTCAGGTAAGAGGAGCAGCTCATGGTGGAGCAGCAGCATTGCTGAAGATTGAACAAAGAGCCTCATGAATGCTAGGCAAGTGCTGTACCATTGAGGTACACCCTCAGCCCTAGAAAATTTATTAGCTATATGTAACTGGACTTGGCAGGACAAAGAGAAGCAGTGAGGGGATGGGCCTTAAGAGATGTGATTAGTCAGGGGAACAGAGTTATATTTAGGAGGATTTTTTATACCTTGCTAAAGTGTTTGAGCTTTCATCTATAGTTAGTGAGAGACCACTAAAAGATTAGGAAGCCAATATGAGATATAATCCTTTTTACATTTAAAATATATCCCTCTAATGTTGCATTTCTGAAGAATACCGTAGTTTTTTTTTTTATTGGTTATCTTGTACTGTGTAAAATATTGCCACAAATTAGTGGCAATAATAATAATGCATAATAATAGATTACATTTATCATCTCACATTTTTTGGTGGATCAGGAATCCAACATGGCTTTGCTTGATTGCCCCCTTCAGAAAGTCAGCTGAAAGCTTCATTTGAAGAGCAGCCAGGCTGAACCTCACTTCAGGAGTTCAGTAGGGGAATAGTCTACTTCTAAGTCCATGTGGTTATTGCCAGCATTTGGAATCTTGTAGAATATGGAACTAAAGTGCTCAATTTTTTTTTTACTGGCTGTTAGCTGAGTGTTTCCCTCAATTCATTGCAATGTGACTTCCTCCATAGGGCAGCTTGCAACATGGGAGCTTGCTTCAAAGACAGAGAGAGTCACCTTTCAGCAAGATGGTCATGACAGTCTTTTGTGCAGTCACATGCACATAACCATTATACACTGTCAGCTTACTATATTCTGTTGGTTAAAAGCAAGTCCCAGGTTACACTCTCATTGAAAGGAGGAAATGATTACACACGCAGGTGTCTGGAGTTATTTAAAATTATAATGGAAAACAAACCTATGTTCTTGTCTAAGGTCAGCCAAACTGTAAAGTTTGAGAGCACACCTTCTCAAAGTGAAGACCACTCTCACTTCTGATACCAACTGTTAGTTCACAAGATTCCCCAAACCACCCTCACGTTTGATAATTCTCTAGAAAGACTCCAAGAACTAATGGAAGGCTCATAGCTACAGCTTACACAGAGAAACAAAACACACAAAAATCAGCCAAAGGACAGAGCCTAGACTGTCTGCATGGTTGAACTCAGCCTCCAGGTCAACTTGTACTGCATAACCCAAAGCTAACATCCTAAGTCACCTGGTTGGTCTTTCTGGTTGGCCACCCCCAATCCTAAAACTGTGTAAGATATGGCCCATTCTACCCTAAACAAAGACAGTCCTATCAGGAATAACAGAGTTCACCTCCAGGAATTAAGGCAAAGCCCAGACCTCCCTTTAAGCACAACCAAAGTCTTTATATACAGTTCCCAGATCCCTATGAAAAATGTTTGACACTGAGGTTATTTTCTATTCCAGAATGAAATACTATATTCTAATAGAAAGTTGCTTAAGTTTCTTCCTACAAGAATAAAAGAAAGCTGCCTAATGTTCTAGAGCAGGCATTGTATCCTATTTAAAAGTTTTCTCTGTGCAGTTCTTTTAGGGAACCCTGTTATATTGTCCTTGGTGTCTTATAGGGGCTTTATTTCTTCACAGATGCCCCTTTACTCTGTGGTTCTTCCTCTAATTGTTTCTCAGGTAGGCAACCAAAAAATGTGTTCAATGGAATTGAGTTTTGGAAACAAGCATTTTCTGGGTATTAGTTTTTTGTTTGTTTTTTGAGATGTCTCATTTCTACTGATAGAGACCATATAACTACCAAGTGGATTGACAGCAAAAGCTATGAGCCTGAAGAATATTTTCCCCATCTTTAACTTCATCCTTTAACTTTATAGGAAAGAGTGTAGTTTTGGAGTCATAATAATTAAGTTCTAGTTTTGTTTCTGCCATTCACTTGATCTTGGGGAAATTCTTTAACTTTTTAGGCCTCAATTTCTTTATCTGTTGACTATAGTCTAGTTATTATAGAGTTTTCAGTGTCCTCACTACTGACATTTTAGACCTGATAATTCTTTATTGTAGGACTGTTGTGTACTGCCACATGTTAGCAGGTCCTCTTGTTCTACCCACTAGATGCGAGTAGTAGCACCCCCAGTTGTATAAACCAGTTCTCCAGACCCTGCCAAATATCAGGGGTGGGGGTTCAGAATTGCCCCTGTTGAGAGCTACTGAGTTAATATTTGTACCCTTTAAAATCTAATATTATATGCTTTTAGAGCAAGTCTGTGATTTGAATCTCCATCTTAAATATCATGCTTGTGCTTGAACACTGGTCATTTGTTCACATGAGAGAGATGAGAACTTAAGTACTTTACAGACTAAAAGGTGAAATTTAAAGGGAGGGGAATCATGACTCAATGTAAAAAAGGGTTCATGGTTAAAATGTACCTCATTTATGAATTTAGTTTTCTTTTGAATGCATAAATCTCTGTGTAATGATTTCACAACCTAAACACAATAAAGTGATAAAAGGTGTCCATGATGTGATGGACCTAGTTATAACTAAGCATAGTTAGTTTATAAACAGGCATATTTATATTTATTGAGGAAACTAGAGCATATAAAGAATCTTGGATTTTTTAATGTTTTGGTTTAATTTTGTTTCCAGCTGCTCTTATACTTTGTTTCCAAGATTTAGAAAAAAACAGATTTGGAATCAGGAAACCGGGGTTTTAGTTCCAGCCGTCCTTGGGGATACATGAATTCTTTACAACAGAAAAAGTATATAGAAGAGACAAGGTTTATTTTTTCTACTTTCTTTTTTTTCCCGATGGAGCTAGTAAGTGTTATGTGATACGCATGCATCTGTGTTTCAGTTTAGTGATTGAGGAATAAAGTGCAAATGGATATGTAGTGTTTTAGGTAATATTTAAACACAGGCTAAACATTCTCAACCACTATTATTGTAAGCAAATTTATGAAGGATCCTTTATTTTTATTTCTTTTCTGAAAACTAAATCATGTCTGATCTGTTTGTTGATTAAACTTGGATTTATAATGTGACTTGTATTATTTTGTTAATAGTTATAAAAGTTTAGTCTATTAGCTAATATAATTGAATACTTTGCAGTGCAATGAGAATAATGAAAAAATTTATAGGTGGATTTTCATGTTTTTCTTCCCTGCTATAAATATCAAGTCAACTGGTATAGTCTGTAGCTCTGTTACGGGTAGCTGTGCCATCCTGATGTACTGTTTGAAGAAAATACCTTATTCTTTAATTCCTCACGGGAAAAGCATCCTGTGGCTTTTGTTTTAT